ACACCATCTGACCAGCAATTACCTTCCTGGAAATCTATGGTAAAAAGCTCACTACGTACGTGCACACAGATTTGTTTACCAACTGCTTATGGACTTGCTGTACATCTAACTGTTCTAAGCAACTTTAACGCACAATCGTATGATTGGTTAAATGATTTTTGGCAGGCCTACAGAAAAGAATACCCAAAGACCACTAAAAAATAATGTCAAAGAACATTTACTGATATATGAAAAGACGCATGGTATCTTTTCACGGACAACATAGACTACAAAGCAATGCGCGCAGCACGTGCGGTAAAGCGTGCTGGCGGCAGAGCAGGGTCCTTTTCCTTCCCTTCTGTGGTTTCTCCATGTGCTTCCAGCTTTCTCCGTGGATGAGCCCTGATCTGTCATCAGCAAGCTCGCCACCGGCGGCCTTTCTCGATCGCTCTTGTGTGGAGGCACAGCACCCTGGAGGAACACCGTGTTTAACATGAACTGTACCCCGCTGTGTGGGGATGGGAGAGAAGAGTGAGGAGAGAGCGAGGGCAGGGGAGACGTGGTCCAAGAAGGAAGGCGCTCTTCACCCGACATGGAACAGAACCCCTGCGCACAGCACCTTTATAGTACCAAAAGCAAAAGTAACAACCTGAAGAACGGCGTGTCGTGTTCTGAAGCAGTCCGCTAGGCCCGTGGCACACAGAGGGGGAGGTGCCGGCCACGACCCCTGGCTTGGGACACGTTCACCAGCCTCTCTTCCCAGCGTTCCCAGAGTGGGAGAGGGGTGGTGGGTGCCCGAGGCCTGAGGGGCCCCTGGAGGGGGCTTCCCCACGGTGCCTGTGACCCTGTTACCCTGTGACCCAGCAGGTGCATGGTCCAGAGCTGACCTCTGGAGCCCCGCTCAGCAAGTCCTACTCCAGTCTTCACCGGCGGGTCTGCTCGACACCAGGAAATGCCCCCCATCCCCGCCTTCACACACGGCCTCCCACCCGCCAAGACGCCACCCAACCGGCACCTCGCAGCTGCCTCCAGCCTCCCCCCCGACGGGCCCCGACGGGCCTCACACCGGGGTCCCACGTCGGACCCCAGCAGCGTTGCTGCTCCTGAGCATCTGGCCCTCCCTCCCGTTCTCAGCGCCATCTCCCTCCACAGAGCAGACATGGAAACAGGGCTGGGGCCGGCCGGGCGCTTCCACCCGCTCAGACCCACAGGGGAGGCGTCCGCTCTCCTCCGAGGCCTGGCCGGCGAGAGGCGGGTTCTGTGGTGAACACACACGTTCTTCGGCCAGACTTCTGCGGACCCTCCTCGCGGCACCCAGCTGTCCTTCCCGAGCCCCTGTGGGCCACAGATCCATTTCCCGGGGAGATGCAAGTGAGTGCAACAAGCATGGGGAAAGCGAGTTACAGACGGGCCGGAGGAAGGAGAGCGGCGCTGGGGGCGGCCTGCCCGTGGCTGGGGGGGGGGCGGCCTGCCTGGCCCAGGAGCCAAGGCTGGGGAGCGGCCTGCCTGGCCCAGGGGCACGCGGCCTATGAATGGGGCTACCCTCCCTGCAGCTTCCCTCCCCGCAGGGGGTGGTGGCATGCGGTGTCAGGCCCAGCGCAGGGCCTGGCGCTGACCGGCAATGCCGGCTGCAGGTATGTGGAGAGCCTGGGAAGCCGGGACTGAGGAGAGGTGGGGATGTCTCCAGGTGGTGTTGGAGGGGCAGGAAATTCCCATGGCAGGATGACCTCATGCTGACAGTGCTGGGTGGGCCCGCCCCACCCGCCCCACCCGCCCCGTGTACCCTGGCCCTGTCTCAGGACGGGGCTGCCCGCCAGCTCCTCAGCAGCAGCGAGGCCCGGCAGGGATGCGGGCGGTGCAGGTTAGCCTGTGAGCTGCACGCTTCTCACAGACTCCCTGCTAGTCCAAGCAGCCAGCCAGGCTGCACATCCGCCTCTCCACCTGGGTGCTGGGTGTGGGTGTGTGATGGGAAAGCATGCCTTAATTGTCTTAACTTAGTGAAGCACTAGGGTCCCCAGGGCCCCGAGGCCAGTCCTGATGATCAATGGCGTTCAGTTGGAGCGGCTGAATCCCCAACCGCTCCTCAGCGCTTCGGCCTGGTGGGGCCCCCCCGGAGCGTGGGGACAGCCACCTCCGTGGTCCCACCAGGGCCGCTGCCAACCGCATCGCGGGAGCCAGCGCCCTGACCCGGTGGAGCCTCACAAGCTGGGCAGGAAGGAGAAGGTGCCGCAAGCTTGCTCAGCAGGCGGAGGCAGCGGCTTCCCCCCGGAGTGCGCTCAGGACAGCCACTTGCTGCAGGCAGGGCACGCCCTGACCCAGACAGACGAGGATGAATTATTGACGGCCGCATAAAGAGCTGCGGGCCCACTGCTGGGAGACGCTTTGAAGACGGGGAGACGGAGCCAGGTCCCCAGAGCATCTGGTAGTTTTCCACCATGCTCCGCTGGTGTCCACGGGTTCCGTGCCCCGGATCCGACGCCGCACGCAAAGCACGGCAAGCCAGGCCTCACCCATGCTCCCTCCATGCAGGAGAACGAAACAGCCACCAGCCTGAACTGTGCAACCCCAGACGTGTTTTGGAAGTTCCATCTCATCTCTACAGACGTCCTACCTGATGCGGACCTCGGGGGGCGCAGAGGGGATGCAGCTGGGCCCCCACATCCTCCCAGTGCCTAATGAGAGCTTCAGAAGAAAAAGTACACGTAGGACACAGACAGGGACACAGCACGCGATTCAGAGGGGTCCAGATCCACGAGAGGCACAGGGAGCTCCCGAACCCAAGCCCCGGCCTCAGACTCTAGAACCACAGCACCTTCACGCACACACACGCCCCCCGGGGTTCCCCGGGGCCCCCAGCTGAGGAAGGCCCGTGGGGGCTTCATCAAATTCACCACTCCACTCAAGAACTCCAGGACGCAGGGAGGGAATTCTTCTGGAATTTGTTCTCAATTGGGCACAGGTGTGCCCAGCTCCACGGCCCTTCCTCCGCCCCCATATCCATGACAACGTGGAGGAGTCCTTGTGACCCCAGCAACCCCCTACAGGCTCTGAACAATGTCAGCTCCCAGGCTGCGGGGGGGGGGGTGAGGTGGGGGGGTGGGTGAGGCGGGGGGGGGGGTGATGCAGGCGGGGGGGACGGGGGGGCAGGGAGCAGCAGTGTGCCTAGTAGCAGACAGAGGTTCTAGGACTAAGGAGACGGGGAGACGGGCACCCCACACCCAGGAGGAGGTCATAAGCACACTTCTGATCTCTACCTTAAGCCTTCATGGGATTTTTGTTTTTTGTCAGGTGTGGGGCTTGAACTCTGGGCCTGGGCGCTGTCCCTCAGCTCTTCAGTCAAGGCCAGCGCTCTACCACTTGAGCCACAGCGCCACTCCGGGGTTCTGGTGGTTCACTGGAGATAAAGAGTCTCACGGACTTTCCTGCCCGGGCTGGCTTTGAACCACGATCCTCAGATCTCAGCCTCCTGAGGAGCTAGGATGACAGGCGTGAGCCACCAGTGCCCAGCCCTTTGTGGAATTTTGCCACAGCTGCTCCCATTCTAGAATTCACCCAGCCAGTGGAGCCCGGAGTCCACTGTGGCAGCCAGAGGCTTCTTACTCTGCAGTTTAGGTTTTTCTTCTTACTTCTGTCCTCAGTTCAAGCTCCAGCTCTTTGGCCTCGGGTCTGGTGCTTTCAAATGTGTCTGGAGTGAATGTACCTGTCACCTTCTCAATTACACATAGTATTACATGTGTGCGTACATCAAATCTCTCATTGGTTAACTAGTGGCATGGAGGCCGCAGAGAGACACGCTTCCAGGTTGAACCTTTCCCACGGGACGTGGGATCTAACATCCTTGCTTAAACCGTGAAGTCCTCCTCGAGACAGGCGAAGCCGTGACAGATTCCCCAGTCACTCTTCCTGGTCTTCCCGTCGGCGTCCATGAGGAGGTGTGTAGCAGGTGGTCTTACGGCATCCGTGAGGAGGTGTGTAGCAGGTGGTCTTACGGCGTCCGTGGGGAGGTGTGTAGCAGGTGGTCTTATGGCATCCGTGGGGAGGTGTGTAGCAGGTGGTCTTACGGCATCCGTGGGGAGGTGTGTAGCAGGTGGTCTTATGGCGTCCGTGGGGAGGTGTGTAGCAAGTGGTCTTATGGCGCCCGTGGGGAGGTGTGTAGCAGGTGGTCTTCCCATCGGCGTCCGTGGGGAGGTGTGTAGCAGGTGGTCTTACGGCATCCGTGGGGAGGTGTGTAGCAGGTGGTCTTATGGCATCCGTGGGGAGGTGTGTAGCAGGTGGTCTTCCCGTCGGCATCCATGGGGAGGTGTGCAGCAGGTGGTCTTATGGCGTCCGTGGGGAGGTGTGTAGCAGGTGGTCTTACGGCGTCCGTGAGGAGGTGTGTAGCAGGTGGTCTTACGGCATCCGTGGGGAGGTGTGTAGCAGGTGGTCTTACGGCGTCCGTGGGGAGGTGTGTAGCAGGTGGTCTTACGGCATCCGTGGGGAGGTGTGTAGCAGGTGGTCTTACGGCATCCGTGGGGAGGTGTGTAGCAGGTGGTCTTATGGCGTCCGTGGGGAGGTGTGTAGCAGGTGGTCTTCCCGTCGGCGTCCGTGAGGAGGTGTGTAGCAGGTGGTCTTACGGCGTCCGTGAGGAGGTGTGTAGCAGGTGGTCTTATGGCGCCCGTGGGGAGGTGTGTAGCAGGTGGTCTTCCCATCAGCGTCCGTGGGGAGGTGTGTAGCAGGTGGTCTTCCCGTCGGCGTCCGTGAGGAGGTGTGTAGCAGGTGGTCTTACGGCGTCCGTGGGGAGGTGTGTAGCAGGTGGTCTTCCCGTCGGCGTCCATGGGGAGGTGTGTAGCAGGTGGTCTTACGGCGTCCATGGGGAGGTGTGTAGCAGGTGGTCTTATGGCGTCCGTGGGGAGGTGTGTAGCAGGTGGTCTTCCCGTCGGCGTCCATGGGGAGGTGTGTAGCAGGTGGTCTTACGGCGTCCGTGGGGAGGTGTGCAGCAGGTGGTCTTACGGCGCCCGTGGGGAGGTGTGTAGCAGGTGGTCTTACGGCGTCCGTGGGGAGGTGTGTAGCAGGTGGTCTTCCCATCGGTGTCCATGGGGAGGTGTGTAGCAGGTGGTCTTCCCGTCGGCGTCCGTGGGGAGGTGTGTAGCAGGTGGTCTTCCCGTCGGCGTCCGTGGGGAGGTGTGTAGCAGGTGGTCTTCCCGTCGGCGTCCGTGGGGAGGTGTGTAGCAGGTGGTCTTATGGCGTCCGTGGGGAGGTGTGTAGCAGGTGGTCTTATGGCGTCCGTGGGGAGGTGTGTAGCAGGTGGTCTTCCCGTCGGCATCCATGAGGAGGTGTGTAGCAGGTGGTCTTACGGCGTCCGTGGGGAGGTGTGTAGCAGGTGGTCTTATGGCGTCCATGGGGAGGTGTGTAGCAGGTGGTCTTATGGCGTCCGTGGGGAGGTGTGTAGCAGGTGGTCTTCCCGTCGGCGTCCGTGGGGAGGTGTGTAGCAGGTGGTCTTCCCGTCGGCGTCCGTGGGGAGGTGTGTAGCAGGTGGTCTTACGGCGTCCGTGGTGAGGTGTGTAGCAGGTGGTCTTATGGCGTCCGTGGGGAGGTATGTAGCAGGTGGTCTTACGGCGTCCATGGGGAGGTGTGTAGCACCCGTCAGCGTCCGTGAGGAGGTGTGTAGCAGGTGATCTTACGGCGTCCGTGGGGAGGTGTGTAGCAGGTGGTCTTCCCGTCGGCGTCCGTGAGGAGGTATGTAGCAGGTGGTCTTCCCGTCGGCGTCCGTGAGGAGGTGTGTAGCAGGTGGTCTTACGGCGTCCGTGGGGAGGTGTGTAGCAGGTGGTCTTATGGCGTCCGTGGGGAGGTGTGTAGCAGGTGGTCTTCCCGTCGGCGTCCGTGAGGAGGTGTGTAGCAGGTGGTCTTACGGCATCCGTGAGGAGGTGTGCAGCAGATGGCCCCCACGGGGCAGGGCGCCCGGAGCGCGGCAGCTCCTCTCCTGGCTCTGCGAGGTTGGGGGGGGGGGGGGAAGCTCAGGCCCAGTTAGGAGGGCTTTGCCTGCAGTGGCTGGAGAAGCTACACCTCGATCAGGAAGAACTGTCTGGAATGTAGACGGGTCAGGAATGTGGAGGACAAGCAGCGGTGTGGCTCTGGGATTTATACAGCCCAGCGGGGGGGGGGGGGGGGGGGGCTGAGCAGACAGGACTGGGCTTGGATCAGAGTTCAGCCTGGGACTGTGCGCACTGCTCCCCAGCCAGCATCGCCTCTGCGCCCAGGTAGCCCCCGCCAGGAGAGCGACGCGGGACGCGGGACCTCCACAGGCTGAGCCACAGGAAGGAAATGTGTCTGGCGGAGAAAAAAAGGGAAAATCTGGTGCTGGGGGTGTGGCGGGCCAAAGAGCCCAGGCAAACGCAGGGCTCGGGTTAGTCCCCCGTCTGCCAAGAAAGCTTGCGATAAAATGGCAAGACAATTTTAGGGTAGACAGACAGGACCGCTGCACCGAAACCCCCCCCTCTTGGGCTCAGGTGTCCATGGCGCCTGTACCAAGGAGAGAAGGGAAAACAGCGGCCTGCGACTCTCCAACCCCACCTCCCGTCCCTCCCTCCCTCACCGGCCAGCGATGTGTCCTCAGTGTCCACACTAGCGGTCTACACCGCCCCCCAGGTCACAGGCAGACACCCCAGTCCCGACACCACGGCTCCCGTGCGGCTGGGGGAAGAGCCGTGCACGGATACCTGCTGTGCCGCTGCTCCCCCCGAGCTGTTCCCGGTCTTGCTTTCCCGTGGCCTCTGCTCCCCCTGGAGCTGTCCCTGGTCTTGCTTTCCCGTGGCCTCTGCTCCCCCCCTGGAGCTGTCCCTGGTCTTGCTTTTCCGTGGCCTCTGCTCCCCCCCTGGAGCTGTCCCTGGTCTTGCTTTCCCGTGGCCTCTGCTCCCCCCCTGGAGCTGTCCCTGGTCTTGCTTTCCCGTGGCCTCTGCTCCCCCTGGAGCTGTTCCCGGTCTTGCTTTCCTGTGGCCTCTGCCCCCCCTGCAGCTGTCCATGGTCTTGCTTTCCCGTGGCCTCGGCTCCCCCTGGAGCTGTCCCTGGTCTTGCTTTCCCGTGGCCTCTGCTCCCCCCCTGGAGCTGTTCCCGGTCTTGCTTTCCCGTGGCCTCTGCTCCCCCTGGAGCTGTTCCCGGTCTTGCTTTCCCGTGGCCTCTGCTCCCCCTGGAGCTGTTCCCGGTCTTGCTTTCCCGTGGCCTCTGCTCCCCCTGGAGCTGTCCCTAGTCTTGCTCTCCCGTGGCCTCTGCTCCCCCTGGAGCTGTTCCCGGTCTTGCTTTCCCGTGGCCTCTGCTCCCCCTGGAGCTGTTCCCGGTCTTGCTTTCCCGTGGCCTCTGCTCCCCCTGGAGGTGTTCCCGGTCTTGCTTTCCCGTGGCCTCTGCTCCCCCTGGAGCTGTCCCTGGTCTTGCTCTCCCGTGGCCTCTGCTCCCCCTGGAGCTGTTCCCGGTCTTGCTTTCCCGTGGCCTCTGCTCCCCCTGGAGCTGTCCCTGGTCTTGCTCTCCCGTGGCCTCTGCTCCCCCTGGAGCTGTCCCTGGTCTTGCTTTCCCGTGGCCTCTGCTCCCCCTGGAGCTGTTCCTGGTCTTGCTTTCCCGTGGCCTCTGCTCCCCCTGGAGCTGTTCCTGGTCTTGCTTTCCCGTGGCCTCTGCTCCCCCTGGAGCTGTCCCTGGTCTTGCTCTCCCGTGGCCTCTGCTCCCCCTGGAGCTGTTCCTGGTCTTGCTCTCCCGTGGCCTCTGCTCCCCCCTGGAGCTGTCCCTGGTCTTGCTTTCCCGTGGCCTCTGCTCCCCCTGGAGCTGTTCCTGGTCTTGCTTTCCCGTGGCCTCTGCTCCCCCCCTGGAGCTGTTCCTGGTCTTGCTTTCCTGTGGCCTCTGCTCCCCCCGAGCTGTCCCTGGTCTTGCTTTCCCCGTGGCCTCTGCTCCCCCTGGAGCTGTCCCTGGTCTTGCTTTCCCGTGGCCTCTGCTCCCCCCCTGGAGCTGTTCCTGGTCTTGCTCTCTCGTGGCTTCTGCTCCCCCTGGAGCTGTTCCTGGTCTTGCTTTCCCGTGGCCTCTGCTCCCCCTGGAGCTGTTCCTGGTCTTGCTTTCCCGTGGCCTCTGCTCCCCCCCTGGAGCTGTCCCTGGTCTTGCTTTCCCGTGGCCTCTGCTCCCCCTGGAGCTGTTCCTGGTCTTGCTCTCTCGTGGCCTCTGCTCCCCCTGGAGCTGTTCCCAGTCTTGCTCTCCCGTGGCCTCTGCTCCCCCCCTGGAGCTGTCCCTGGTCTTACTCTCCCGTGGCCTCTGCTCCCCCTGGAGCTGTCCCTGGTCTTGCTCTCCCGTGGCCTCTGCTCCCCCCGAGCTGTCCCTGGTCTTGCTTTCCCGTGGCCTCTGCTCCCCCCGAGCTGTCCCTGGTCTTGCTCTCCCGTGGCCTCTGATCCCCCCCTGGAGCTGTCCCTGGTCTTGCTCTCCCGTGGCCTCTGCTCCCCCCCTGGAGCTGTCCCTGGTCTTGCTCTCCCATGGCCTCTGCTCCCCCCGAGCTGTCCCTGGTCTTGCTTTCCCGTGGCCTCTGCTCCCCCCCTGGAGCTGTCCCTGGTCTTGCTTTCCCGTGGCCTCTGCTCCCCCCCTGGAGCTGTTCCTGGTCTTGCTCTCCCGTGGCCTCTGCTCCCCCCGAGCTGTCCCTGGTCTTGCTCTCCCGTGGCCTCTGATCCCCCTGGAGCTGTCCCTGGTCTTGCTCTCCCGTGGCCTCTGCTCCCCCCCTGGAGCTGTCCCTGGTCTTGCTTTCCCGTGGCCTCTGCTCTCCCCCTGGAGCTGTCCCTGGTCTTGCTTTCCCGTGGCCTCTGCTCCCCCCTGGAGCTGTTCCCGGTCTTGCTTTCCTGTGGCCTCTGCTCCCCCTGGAGCTGTCCCTGGTCTTGCTTTCCCGTGGCCTCTGCTCCCCCTGGAGCTGTCCCTGGTCTTGCTTTCCCGTGGCCTCTGCTCCCCCTGGAGCTGTCCCTGGTCTTGCTTTCCCGTGGCCTCTGCTCCCCCTGGAGCTGTCCCTGGTCTTGCTTTCCCGTGGCCTCTGCTCCCCCCCTGGAGCTGTCCCTGGTCTTGCTCTCCCGTGGCCTCTGCTCCCCCTGGAGCTGTTCCCAGTCTTGCTCTCCCGTGGCCTCTGCTCCCCCCCTGGAGCTGTCCCTGGTCTTGCTCTCCCGTGGCCTCTGCTCCCCCTGGAGCTGTCCCTGGTCTTGCTCTCCCGTGGCCTCTGCTCCCCCTGGAGCTGTCCCTGGTCTTGCTTTCCTGTGGCCTCTGCTCCCCCTGGAGCTGTCCCTGGTCTTGCTTTCCCGTGGCCTCTGCTCTCCCCCTGGAGCTGTTCCTGGTCTTGCTTTCCCGTGGCCTCTGCTCCCCCCCTGGAGCTGTCCCTGGTCTTGCTCTCCCGTGGCCTCTGCTCCCCCTGGAGCTGTTCCCGGTCTTGCTTTCCTGTGGCCTCTGCTCCCCCCCTGGAGCTGTTCCTGGTCTTGCTTTCCCGTGGCCTCTGCTCCCCCCCTGGAGCTGTCCCTGGTCTTGCTTTCCCGTGGCCTCTGCTCCCCCTGGAGCTGTTCCTGGTCTTGCTTTCCCGTGGCCTCTGCTCCCCCCCTGGAGCTGTTCCTGGTCTTCCTTTCCTGTGGCCTCTGCTCCCCCCGAGCTGTCCCTGGTCTTGCTTTCCCCGTGGCCTCTGCTCCCCCTGGAGCTGTCCCTGGTCTTGCTTTCCCGTGGCCTCTGCTCCCCCCCTGGAGCTGTTCCTGGTCTTGCTCTCTCGTGGCCTCTGCTCCCCCTGGAGCTGTTCCTGGTCTTGCTTTCCCGTGGCCTCTGCTCCCCCCCTGGAGCTGTCCCTGGTCTTGCTTTCCCGTGGCCTCTCCTCCCCCTGGAGCTGTTCCTGGTCTTGCTCTCTCGTGGCCTCTGCTCCCCCTGGAGCTGTTCCCAGTCTTGCTCTCCCGTGGCCTCTGCTCCCCCCCTGGAGCTGTCCCTGGTCTTACTCTCCCGTGGCCTCTGCTCCCCCTGGAGCTGTTCCTGGTCTTGCTCTCCCGTGGCCTCTGCTCCCCCCCTGGAGCTGTCCCTGGTCTTGCTTTCCCGTGGCCTCTGCTCCCCCCGAGCTGTCCCTGGTCTTGCTTTCCCGTGGCCTCTGCTCCCCCCGAGCTGTCCCTGGTCTTGCTCTCCCGTGGCCTCTGATCCCCCTGGAGCTGTCCCTGGTCTTGCTTTCCCGTGGCCTCTGCTCTCCCCCTGGAGCTGTCCCTGGTCTTGCTTTCCCGTGGCCTCTGCTCCCCCCCTGGAGCTGTTCCCGGTCTTGCTTTCCTGTGGCCTCTGCTCCCCCTGGAGCTGTCCCTGGTCTTGCTTTCCCGTGGCCTCTGCTCCCCCTGGAGCTGTCCCTGGTCTTGCTTTCCCGTGGCCTCTGCTCCCCCCCTGGAGCTGTTCCCGGTCTTGCTTTCCTGTGGCCTCTGCTCCCCCCCTGGAGCTGTCCCTGGTCTTGCTCTCCCGTGGCCTCTGCTCCCCCCGAGCTGTCCCTGGTCTTGCTTTCCCGTGGCCTCTGCTCCCCCCGAGCTGTCCCTGGTCTTGCTCTCCCGTGGCCTCTGATCCCCCTGGAGCTGTCCCTGGTCTTGCTTTCCCGTGGCCTCTGCTCCCCCTGGAGCTGTCCCTGGTCTTGCTTTCCCGTGGCCTCTGCTCCCCCTGGAGCTGTTCCCAGTCTTGCTCTCCCGTGGCCTCTGCTCCCCCCCTGGAGCTGTCCCTGGTCTTGCTCTCCCGTGGCCTCTGCTCCCCCCGAGCTGTCCCTGGTCTTGCTTTCCCGTGGCCTCTGCTCCCCCCGAGCTGTCCCTGGTCTTGCTCTCCCGTGGCCTCTGATCCCCCTGGAGCTGTCCCTGGTCTTGCTCTCCCGTGGCCTCTGCTCCCCCCCTGGAGCTGTCCCTGGTCTTGCTTTCCCATGGCCTCTGCTCTCCCCCTGGAGCTGTCCCTGGTCTTGCTTTCCCGTGGCCTCTGCTCCCCCTGGAGCTGTCCCTG